GTCTACCCCAGAGGAGGGCTCCTCTACTACATCTGTACTAGGGGCTATGGCATTGGTAGCTGTGGAGGAGTCTTTAACTGAATCCAGATTTTCACAATGGCTGGGGGCTGGGTCTGGGTCAGCCCTAAGGCTGGGGACTGAACTAGCTGTTGTTTTTGTTTCCCGTGTTTTTTCTAGTGTGTATCTGCTTATTTTTGGGTCAGTTGTTGTAGACTGGGCATTCTCTGTGTTAGACTTTACTCCTCTCCTATCTTCCCATGCTCTATATATTCCAGGTAGACTATTCAATAGTTCCTCCTTTTTCTCGTGTTTATTGTTTATTAACCTCCTGAGTGCTTTCCTGATATCTATCCATAGTTCCACATCCCTGTTGCAGATCCAGAAACACCTATCTAGATAGATGTCATTTTTGGTTGCAATGTTTATTCTTGCACAGGTAACATGATGTTTTGAAAAGCAAAGGTTGCATGTGATTTTAGATTTTTTCCCAAGAGCCTTTTCACATGTCCCACAGGTATACTGTACTGCCATCCTGCCTGTATCCTGCCTGTATCCGATAGATTTCGAAAAAGCCATTGACAACATGCCTATGCACTCAGCCCCGGGCCCAGACTCGTGGAACTTTGTTTTCATTAAGAACTGCAAGAAACCCCTCTCGCGTGCCCTAAGTACACTATGGAGGAGGAGCTTGGACATGGGTGAAATTCCACAGTCACTTAAAACAACGGATATAGCCCCACTCCATAAAGGTGGCAGCAAAGCATTAGCTAAGAACTATAGACCAATAGCTCTGACGTCCCACATCATAAAAATCTTTGAAAGAGTGCTAAGAAGCAGGATTGCAAATCACCTGGATTCCCAAAATCTGCACAATCCAGGGCAACATGGGTTCAGGGCAGGTCGCTCCTGCCTCTCACAACTACTGGATCACTATGACATGGCCTTGGATGCACTGGAAGAAAATCAGAATGCAGATGTAATATACACAGACTTTGCAAAAGCATTTGACAAATGCGATCATGGCGTAATAGCCCATAAAATACGTGCTAAAGGATAACTGGGAAAGTGGGAGATGGATCTTCAACTTCCTAACAATCGAACACAAAGAGTAGTGGTCAACAGAGTTAAATCGGAGGCTGCCATAGTGAAAGAGCTCTGTTCCACAAGGCACAGTACTCGCCCCCATCTTATTCCTTATCCTCATATCAGACATAAACAGAGATATACACCACAGCACCGTATCATCCTTTGCGGATGATACTAGGATCTGCATGGGCTGTCATCTGCTGAGGACGCGGTTAACCTCCAAGAAGTATATAAACAAACTTTTCCAGTGGGCAACGGTAAACAATATGATGTTCAATGAGGACAAATTCCAACTACTCCGTTATGGAAAACTGGAGGAGATAATAACTAGAACAGAGTATACTACTGACTCCGGCCATACAATAGAGCGGAAAAATAATGTAAGGGACCTGGGAGTAGTAATGTCTGAGGATCTCACTTTCAAGGATCACAACAGTGCCACGATCGCACGTGCAAAGAAAATGATAGGATGGATAATGAGAACTTTCAGAACGAGAGATGCCAAGCCCATGATGATCCTTTTCAAATCACTTGTTCTCTCTAGGCTGGAATACTGCTGTACATTAACATCTCCATACAAAGCAGGTGAAATCGCAGATCTAGAGAGTGTACAGAGATCCTTTACTGCACGTATAAGTTCTGTCAAGCACCTTAACTACTGGGAACGCTTGGAAGCACTTGACTTGTACTCGTTGGAACGCAGGAGGGAGAGATATATCATAATCTACACTTGGAAAATCTTGGAAGGAATGGTCCCAAATCTGCACACAGAAATCACTCCCTACGAAAGTAAAAGACTGGGCAGGCGATGCAAAATGCCGCCAATAAAAAGTAGGGGCGCCATTGGTACACTAAGAGAAAACACCATAAGTGTCCGGGGCCCAAAACTGTTCAACAGCCTCCCATCAAGCATTAGGGGAATTGCCAATAAACCCCTGGCTGCCTTCAAGAGAGAGCTGGATAGATACCTAAAGTCAGTGCCGGATCAGCCGGGCTGTGGCTCGTACGTCGGACTGCGTGCGGCCAGCAGTAACAGCCTAGTTGATCAGGCCCTGATCCATCGGGAGGCCTGATCATGGACCGGGCCGCGGGGGCGTTGATCCCCGGAATAACCTCCAGGTAACCTCCAGGTATTGATACAGCTAACAAGTTGAATGACTTCTTCTCAACTATAGAATGAAATCTCGCCAGTAAAATTCCATTTACCAATGCCCGAGCTAATAATTATCTAGGTGGAAACTTTTTCAACATCCCTCTATCTTACACCAACAGATCCCACTGAGGTTACCATGATTATTAACTCTAAAAAACAAATCAGGAGCTGTAACCCCAGTACCACCACCAGTACTGTACAGACGAGAGACTCAAATCCTTTCACCCACCATTGCATTACTCTTCACCAAATCACTAAAAACCAACACTTTCTCGGCATCACTCAAAATAGGAATTATTACACCAATACACAAAGATGTAAACAATTATAGGCCAATATCAAACTTGCCTTTACTCTCCAAAATCTTCGAGAAGCTCATACACGAAAGGTTATACTCCTTCATAGCTTCACAAAACATCCTTAACCCTTGCCAATTTGGCTTCAGGAGAAACAAAAGCACAAATGACGCAATAATAAAAATGCTAGACCTACTTTACCCAGCACTGGAAAAAAACTAATACGCGCTTGGACTCTTTCTTGACCTTAACAAAGCTTTTGATACAGTAGATCACTGCATCCTACTCCTCAAGCTTGATCATTACGGTATAAGAGGCCATACACTTGCATTTATTAAGTCTTACGTTACTAATAGAAAGCAATACGTCTCTGTAAAGGACGCAGCCTCCTCAACAAGACCCCTGGGCACAGGGAAGCGCTCTTGGCCCCCTCCTTTTCCTTTTATACATCAACGATCTTCTAATCGTATCACAACAACTTGCATCTATTCTCTTTGCTGACGACACGACTTTTCTCATCTCCTACCCAAATCTAGCCTCACTCAACACTATTATTAACGAAGAGCTCGCAAAAATAGCAACCAGGATGACAGTCAATAAACTTACACTTAATATAGACAAAACCTTTTACATTATGTTTGGGAGTAGAGCAAGTGAGGTTCAACTAAACATTATGCGTAACATTATCCTTATTGCTAAACATAGTGAGGGAAGATTCCTGGGTCTGCACCTTGACAACAACCTGAAATTCAACACCCATATCCAACACATAACAAAAAAAAAAGCCTCTAAAACAGTTGGCATCTTCTCAAAGATACGTTACTATGTACTACAAACAGCATTACTTCACTACTATTCACTGATCTACCCCTATCTCACCTATGCTATTTGTGCCTGGGGTTCCACAACGGCAAATCACCTAAAACCAATAACAACCCAACAGAAAGCTGCAATGCGAATGATCACACAATCCACTGCTAGACAACAACCCCCCCCCCTTCAAAGACCTCATCCTACTCACTACACAAAACATTCACTCGTACCTTTGTGCAACCTACATTTACAGAACAATCAATTCTAACATAAATCCCGACCTGAAGTGCTTTCTTGACAGTTGCAAGAGAACTCATAGACACAACCACAAAAAGCTCTATAACATTCCCTGTGTCAGGCTAAATCTTTTCAGAAAACTCAGTGTACATAAAAGGGTCCAAAATGACTCACGAAATTGTAATGACACGATTGCAAACAAACCATACCACGGGCGGGGATAAAACCCGCGATCAGATTTTGGAGGGTCCAAAATCTGGAGCTCTCTGCAAGAAATCTCCAGAACCACTGGCTCAGCTAGCATTTTTAAAACTATGGTTAAAAAACATCTTATCTCCTTAACCTATCCCAGCCCATCATAAATATATATGTAAAAACTATACATGCATTTGCTCAATATCATGAACACAGGTAAAACTTTATAATCAATATATACTTACTCTCAAAATCTGTATTCACCTCAAATGTTAAGCACTCCATTGTGTCCATCTAAGGTTAATAATCAAAACTGTAATTCTTCCCTATAAAACTTATTAAAGTCATATAACATGATCTGATAGAATATTTAGTTCTTTTGTATTCATTTTAACTGACCTATTGACCATATGTACTGTTATTTCCTTATTAATTTTAAGTTAGTTTTAAGTTTGCCCGAAATGTTTTGCATATAAAGGGGCTTTTGGCATGTACACCCAAGTATTATATTTCTTTATACAAACATGTATCATGCCGAAATAAAATATTTTATTATTATTATTATTATTATTATTATTATTATTATTATTATTATTATTATTATTATTATTGAATAATTTGTTAAATTGTTTCCGCGCGATAGTTTGAGAATGCTTCGTAATTGGCTTTAAACTTTTAATGCTGATGAAGCATTTTTTTTTATTAGCCTTTGCTGTGCTAGTCTCTTACCTTTGACAAATATACTGAAGACAGTTTATAAAATCTCGCAAGGTTATACAGCACTGAAAGTCAAATATGTCTATTACAAGGAAGCTGAAAAATGGCAAGATTATTTTTATGGGTTTATAAAATTTGACAAATTTATAATAGTTTACATTCTTGCATCTTAATAAGAAAATAAGATACCGGACATTAAGCAAATATCCTATATTAGCTTTGAAATGATAAGTCCATTGTAGATGAATTAATGTAAACTGTTTTGGGGCCTATTTCCTAGGCATTTTGTTTGTCCACCTGCTCCTACGCTACCGTCCACAGGATGGATCTGAGGTGCAAAATAAACCAGTCGCTTCGGTGGCAAAGCCTTAAAACATCTAATTAATAAAAATTATTAACATTTTAGTTTTAATATCTTATTTTTTTTTGTTTTATCAGGGAGATAAGGGATGCAGGGGATACCTTTATCTAATCGCATAATGCACAAAAAAATTATACCTATTAATTTATTATTTTTGTTTTAAAATTCAAGACTTACTTTTACCATAACCACCGTGACCATGTCCATCATTGTTACCATGACCACCTTGGTTACCATGACCACCTTGGTTACCATAACCACCATGGCTACCATGTTCATTTTCTCGACGAGGGGCGCAGCACCAACAGCCTTTACCACAACCTTTGTGAATCTCCCGACGATTGCTTCCACAGGACCTGGACTGACACCTTCCTTTGGCCTCCCGACATTCCTCGTTAGCTTTGCATCCTGTTGAAATATGTAAACAAGTCAAACACTGAAGCGTGTCCTTAAGGAACACACGCTAACATGTACACTCCCACACACGCAAATGCAAGCACAGATATATGAATGGTTACACACACACACACACACACAGACATGTATACAAATGCACCCACACACACACACACACACACATACACACACACACACACACACACACACACACACACACACACACACACACACACACACACACACACACACACACACACACACACACGCACACACACGCGCACACACACACATACAAACATACACACACAAACACATATACAAAATACAAATGCACATACACACACACACACACACGCACACAGAAGCTGAGACTCGACCCCTGCAACCACAATTAGGTGAGTACACACACATACACAACATTCCCCGTGGGTCCTTAGAGAAGGAGCAGAGATGCTGTGTGCCACTAACCACAGTCTTCAACACATCCCTTGAAACTGGGCAACTACCTGAGGTATGGAAGACGGCAAATGTAGTCCCCATTTTTAAGAAAGGAGACAGAAACGAGGCACTAAACTACAGATCAGTGTCACTGACGTGTATAGTAGGCAAAGTCATGGAGAAAATTATCAGGAGGAGAGCGGTGGAGCACCTGGAACGGAACAAGATTATAAATGACAACCAGCACGGATTCATGGAAGGCAAATCTTGGTCACAAACCTTCTGGAGTTTTATGACAAAGTAACAGAAGTAAGACACGAGAGAGAGGGGTGGGTTGACTGCATTTTCCTGGACTGCAGGAAGGCCTTCGACACAGTTCCTCACAAGATATTAGTGCAGAAGCTGGAGGATCAGGCACGTATAACAGGAAGGGCACTGCAGTGAATCAGAGAATACCTGACAGGGAGGCAACAACGAGTCATGGTACGTGATGTATCACAGTGGGCTCCTGTGACGAGCTGGGTCCCCCAGGGGTCAGTCCTAGGACCAGTGCTAATTTTGGTATATGTGAATGACATGGTGGAAGGGATAGACTCAGAAGTGTCCCTGTTCGCAGATGATGTGAAGTTAATGAGGAGAATTAAATCAAATGAGGATCAGGCAGGACTACAAAGAGACCTGGACAGGCTGAACACGTGGTCCAGCAACTGGTTTCTCGAATTCAACCCCGCCAAATGCAAAGTCATGAAGATTGGTGAAAGGCAAAGAAAACCACAGACAGAGTATAGGCTAGGTGGACAAAGACTGCAAACCTCACTCATGGAGAAAGATCTTGGGGTGAGCATAACGGCGAGCACGTCTCCGGAAGCACACATCAACCAGGTAACTGCTGTAGCATATGGGCGCCTGGCAAACCTGAGAATAGCGTTCCGACACCTTAGTAAGGAATCGTTCAAGACACTGTACACTGTGTACGTCAGGCCCATACTGGAGTATGCAGCACCAGTTTGGAACCCACACCTGGTCAAGCACGTCAAGAAATTAGAGAAAGTGCAAAGGTTTGCAACACGGTTAGTTCCGGAGCTCAGGGGAATGTCCTATGAAGAAAGGTTGAGAGAAATCGAATTGACGGCACTGGAGGACAGGAGGGCCAGGGGAGACATGATAACGACATACAAAATACTGCGTGGAATAGATAAGATGGATAGAGACAGGATGTTCCAGAGGGGACGCAGGAGCATTGGATCACATTTGGAAGCTGAAGACTCAGACGAGTCACAGGGATGTTAGGAAGTATTTCTTCAGTCATAAAGTTGTCAGGAAGTGGAATAGTCTAGCAAGTGATGTAGTGGAGACAGGAACCATTCATAGCTTTAAGACGAGGTATGACAAAGCTCAGGAAGCAGAGAGAGAGAGGACCTATTAGCGATCAGTGAAGAGGCGGGGCCAGGAGCTGAGTATCGACCCCTGCAACCACAATTAAGTGAGTACATACACAGGAGCTGTGAATGGATGAATGCAATTACATATAGGCGAGTACACACATGCTGCCACCAAACAGAATATCCAAGTTGAAATATAACATCAATAACAACAACTACAATTGACTATGTCCTATGACAGGACAGTTTTTGATTCAAGGAGACTTCACTCAAAATCAGGTAGAGGAGCCGGACCCTAAACTGACACCTTAAGTTATAGTCTTGCTTCTTAATTCAGAAGTGAAGAACCTTTTTGGGGCATTTTTTAAAAGTGACATGGGAGAACTAGCATTGAGGGATCTTTTTTTAGGAGAGGCCCTTTTGGGGGGCCCCTTTTGACTACTGGCATTAAAGGTTTCAGGGGGGGGTTAAATAAACCCGGCTTTTGGGGATAAATTTGTGGATTAGTTGAGGTGCAAAACCCTTTTGGGGGGGTTGTTTGGGTTTATTGTTTTTGGAGTTTCCTCTTGATTTCCTTAATAATTTATTAATGGAGTTTTATATACATAGAGATCATTCTTTATATAAATTAAAATATATATAATATATATATATTTAATAAAAATATTATATATTATTATATATTATATATATATATATATATAATATAGTATATATATATGTATATTTTAAAAGTATATAATAAAAAATATATTATATATTAAAAATATGTTTATATATATGTATATATATATATATATATATATTTTAATATATATATTAATTTATAATATATATTTATAATATATATATATATATATATATATATAAAAAATATTATATAAAACCCAGCCGTTAAATAATGCATACTTATGATTGTGATTTCTTGACTAAAATTGTGCTCCAGTTTCCTAAATTTAAGCCAAAAATACCTACACCCCCCACCCCCCAGGGGGTGTATAATCCTAAGGTTTAGCGTTCCTCTTGATTAAATAATAATCTTGGCTAAATTTTTAAACGCCTCTTACCCCACAACTGAAGGACCGGGGTTTTCCTCACGATTGGAACGTTGTCCATGTTGCTTTACCCCTGTTTCTTGTTTACATCCCAGTAAGTGGGTACCGGGGTTTATAGCCGACTGTTGGGAGCGTATTCCAGGAGATGTTAAAAATTTTTGATGGCGAAACTCTAAAATGAACTCAAGTGGGAAAAACACTCTTAGCCTGTAAATTCACTTTGAAAAAAAAAAAATTATACTGGAAAAAATTTAGGCAAAAGGGCAGGAATGCAAGATGTAAGTAAACTGCTTGCATTTTGTCGCAGAAAAAATCAACACTCAGCTTAAAGCAGCACCAGCACCGTGTCCACTGCAGGTGGAATCGAGTCCTCGGGGCTTCCATTTTTGTTTTTGCAGCTCTCTTTTATCTTTGTTTTTATCCGGTAGTGAACCTCCACCAATCTCTCTTTCACAAGAAACCGTCTGAAAAAAACCCAAACCCTCATTCATAAACCCCTTTTAAGTTTGTTACGGAACAGCAGTTTTGTTAACAGATCGATAAACCCTGTTTAACTAATATAATAAAAAAAAAAATAATACAGGTTTTATCAGACTGAGAAAAATTTTTTATATTCTTTTTTTTTGTAGACCAACTTTGTGTATTACTAGAAAAATTTAAATTATTTTTAGCACTTTTGCTGCTTTTTGGCCCCCATATTTACATAAAATATTTTTATGGGTACTGTAACCCACTACACCATGCTGAACAAATAAAATTAAGGGAACAGGGCATCACTCCCAAAAATTTTAAAGGGCTTTACAAAAAATCTCAAACCAACATAGTTGTGTCAAGCCTATTTCCGGGTTTCCCTTAAATTACCGGGGTTTTTAACGGGAGAGATTTCCCGGGGGGTCAACCCCCCCGGGGCCCCGGGCGGGTAAATTACTAGCGAAATGGAAAATAATATATTGTAAAAAAAGGGAAGGGAAGGGAATAGTGTTAGTTCCATGGCAAAGTATTTCCCAAAAATTTATAATTTGTCCAGTTAATGAAACAAACTTTCTCAGCTATAAAAATAAAAGTATTTTTAGTTAAAACAAATTTTTTATAAGAAATAATTTTATTTTGAAAGAACGAGAAGAGAATCACGAGACTAAAAAAGGTTTTGTTAAAAAATGTTTTCAACAGATTTCCCAATCAAAATTAAAATCATAGTTTGGTGTATTGTTAAATTTTAAAAAAAATGTACATAATGAACTTAAACAAAATAATAGATTTAATAAAACAATAAAAAACATTACTTTATAAATATACCACCAGGTGCCCAGTGGAGCAGTGAAAAACAACCCATCATCAAAGTCACTGCACACCCCCCAGACTGTGTTTTGTAGACTTTGTCACCCCCCTGAACTGAATGCTGGGAACAGTGGGAAACTTCCCATCAGTGTTAGTTCTATGTATATATTTTGTATCTTCTTGCCCCAGAAAAAGTACATTTTTTTACATTTTCTCACCCCTTACTAGTGTAGGCTGTAAGCATTGTCGCAACCCCAAATCTTGTGTTTTTATACACGCAGACCCCAAAAGATCGTTGGGTTATATGGGAAACTTTCGGTTTCCTGATATTTCATATTTTTGTAGCCTGCGGCATTTTTTGTCCCGTGTTCTTTATTCTTTCAATAGTATCATTAATTGTGTTCTAAGGGTCGGTCATACTTCTGGCCCCGCCTCTTCATTTGGGCGCTACAGGTTACCCCTGCTCCTGAACTTTTTCATACCTCTTCGTAAAAGCTATGTATTGATAAAGATTCCCACTACATCACCCCATCAGTTTGTTCTGTTTTTTGTTTATGTCAAAACTGATGCAGTTTGTCCTGTTTGTGTTTATGTTATACAACATTGCGTTTTTCCTGTGTTGTGTTTTATGTTTAACAAAGGATGCATTTGTCTGTGTTGTGTTTATGTCTATACAACAGTGATGCAGTTTTTCCGTGGAGTGTTTAGTCTAACAACTGTGAACTTAGCTCGTCCAGTTTGATTTTTGTCTTTACAGAGTGCTATGGTTTTCATTTTTATGTGTTTAGTTATCTTAAAAGATGCTGCAAATTACAGGGGCATGTGTTTTTTCAGTCATTTAATTTTTCGTTTATGA